TTTTGTGCAAAGTCAATTATTTTGATTTTTAAAGGCACGTAACTATTTGGGGTAAGCATTTGTTTCAAAATCAAAAAGCGTGCGCAGCCATGCGATATGTAAATAGATCTCGATTGTATATTCTTTGATTTTTTCAAAGCCTATTTTATGTAGGATTTTCTCAACTCAAGTCTGATAATTGTGTCTAATTTCAAATACTTTTGAATAGTTTTTGATTAACATTTTTGTGAAAAGTCAATTATTTCGATATAAAGTCAAAATGTGCTTTAAAATAGGTCTCTAATTTATATTCTTTGATTTTTTTTCAAAGCCTAAATTATGTAGCATTTTCTCAACTCAAGTTGAATATTTGAATAGTTTTTTTTATTAAAGATAGAATACATAGCCTATATATACACTGACTATACTTGTACATACACTGCAGAAATTTCATAGCAATCGATGCAACAGTTTAGACGCACATTAAGAACATACATGCAAACATTCCATGCAAAAGTTTATTACAATGAGCATCAGTTTAAATATCAGAATAGTCACGAAGGAATTTTAAATCATGCCAAGTAGCTTCAGCATTTCTCGTGGCCTGTATTTAGAGATTCGAACATGTATTTTAAACGTTGAGAAACAATTACGAGTACAGCAAAGAGTGCTTAATGACAAATTGAATCGTCAATTAGGTACTGTGAACCGTTACTATGTAATCGATGGATTGACCTGTCTATGCCATTACTTTTAATTATGTAGTTAGTCGTAAGTGAAGCCATTGCTGCGATAAGAATTCGAAATGTGTTGCTGCTCTTTATGAGCTTAGTCTGCACTTTGTTATCTAATTAAACATTCTTTGATATCCCTCTAGCGTTTACTCGTATCGTATTCTCGTACGTTGCGAACATCTTAAGTATTTTTCGTTGTTCTTTCAGTCAGTCTACATACATATCTAGTCCATGTTTGCCACATTCTCGGCTCGGCTCAGAGCAGGTTCAAATCACCTTGCAGTCGCTGCCAATAGAAACTTTACAAATGCAGGCATTTTATACCACCAGCCAGGCAGTCAACCAACCAACCAAGCAACCAAGCAACCAAACGGCCAACCAGCCGGTACAGCAACTAATTCCGTTTTTTCCTTGCGCGTTTTACGACACCCCCGTACGGAGGCCGCTTCTAATTGCCAATTGCGCAGACTTGTTGCCTTTCACTTGGTGGAGGAAATGGCTGGCAGTCGCTGCATGCGCTCGACAAACATCCAATTAAGCTATAAAAATCTTAATTTAATTATTTGCCACACGAACAAAACCGAATATATAGTATATAGTATAGCAAGGCTACAAAAAGTACACAGAACAAGCAACAACTCGCACAGCATTTGCCATTCACATTTCCAGCCACGAGCCGAGCCGTGTCGACTCGACTCAACTCGACTCAGGCTAAGGCTAATGCTGATGCTGACGCTGATGCTAAGGCTGATGCTAAGGCTGACGGCAACGTTGACGACGAGTATGACGACGATTTATGGTACCAGGTTTTTCTTCATTTAAGCGCATGGCGCAGGCAGCATGCATTTTTCATGAATTAGTTCATATAAAAGTCAAATGCACAAAACGCAAGGCGAAAAATGCCAGCGAGTCCAGCTGAGCACAGCTGAGTTGAGCATAAAGCCCAGCCAGGCCAGCCAGGCTACACTCAGAGAAAACGAAGCTGTAAATTCAATTTTTAATCTCACAATTATTTTCATGTTTTTCTTAATTCCACCGAGTCGGACAATAATACAATAACTAGTCAAGATATTACGCGATTTCAATTTGTGTTCTCATTTGAATTATAATTGTATTGATTATAATTACTTTTAGAGAAAGATTCGAATACTGCTTTTGTTCAATACTGCTTTACCTAACGCTTAGAATTAATTTTTAATTTATTTATTAACCGCTTATTTTCTTAAGGGTCTAACAATAATTTATCAAATCGTACTCTAATTTATTTTACAATTAATTGTTAAATTTAATTAATTGTAAGTGAACCTTTTGCAGTGTTTTTAAAGAATACTTAAACGTTTTGAAGACTCCGGTTTATATCTTTTTTGGAGACATTTTATTAGTAGCTCGATATAGGATAGGCTGATATTGCTGACAGTAATAATGGCTTTAAGACAATCTAAGCTTAAGCCATTTGGCTCCTAACAAGATTTGGGGAGAATTGTAATTTATGTTTGCGGCTTGATCGCGTATAGTAGAATTAGCTTAGAAATATATTATCCTGAAACTTCAAGCAGAGATGATTAAATTGCGTACATAAATTCCCATAATATTATTTATGTTATTCCTCAATAGAAAAGTATCGAATCTGTATCGGTTTCACATTGAAATGTCAGCTCCTCCTACTCCTTCCCATTACAAATGCGAAATGGAAAACTGAAAATGAATATAATTTTTTAAGTGTAGAGGCAGCTGTTGCTGCATTTTGGTGCATTTCGGTTGGATCTGGGGGGGCGGCAACACATAAACAGATTTTGTGGCCGCACCACAAAACAGTCAGAAAAACATAAAACAGGGGGAGAAAAAAATATAAGAAACAACGAAGTGGAAGGCTGAGAGCCCACTGAAAGGAGTTGGTGCTGTTGCCAGATTTTGCGATTTTGTGCCTCTTGTTTATTTTTTGTTGCATAATTAATGAAATGAGACTTGGGCTGGATGCTGCCTGCGCTCACTTCGCCTGCCCCGGCCTGGCCATGACTGTGACTCTGACTGTGGACTGTGCTGTGTGGATGGAGCTAAGGATGATGAGGACTGCCTGTCTGTCTGTCTGCCTGCCTGCCTGCATGTCGTCTGTCGCTCTGTCTAACATAAATTAGATGATGCATGATGCAAGATAATGCTCTGACGTCTGGTAATGTTGTTGATGCGCACTCTCCATTTGAGATTTATGTGGCACGGCAACTGGAGCAACTTTCACTTTTTCCAGCAACAACAATCGCAATTGCTTTAAGCATTTTTCGATTAAAAGCCAAACGCAAAATGCAATACGAAGAAGAAAAAAAAATCATCTACTTTACATACTTACTGGGTTTTTGTTTGTTGTTTGTATATAACCAACCGAAGGCTCAGAAAGGATAAAACGACTCGTTTAATGTTACGCTCAATGCTCAGTTGTTGTTGTTATTGTTGCTGTTGTTGCTGTTGTTGCTGTGCCCGCTGGCCATTTCATGGCCTGCCACTTGAAACAAAAAACCAGTCAGCGCATTGCGAAGCAGGCCCAGGGAAATGAAGGAGGGCAGGGGAGGGGAGGGGAGGGAGCAACGTGCGCAGCGCACAAGCAAAATGGCCAAAAAGAAAACAGCGACAACAACAACAACGACAACAACAACAAGAACACAAGTGTACGCCACACGGCACATTGAACAAGTTAAAATATAATAAATAGGCTTAAAAGTGAGTGTTCAATTCCACTCGCATGTACGAGTGTGTGTGTGTGTGTGTGTGTGTGTGTGTGTTTCTGTTGTTGAGTTGTATATGGCGCATATATCCTTTGTGCACAGCCCACACGATAAATAACGCCACCAACGCTATTCCAATTTATTAAAATCCTTATACTCGTACTCGCACTCGCATGTGTACTGTGTGCAAGCAAAGAAGTTCCAATTTTCAATTGCTTTCATTCGAAAGAAAGAAAGAAATAAGTATAATGAATCGATATTGAATTCAGTTCCGGCTGCCTTTAAGCCATTCGCTTGCAGGACTCAATAAATACTCAAAAAATTATAAAGAACATTGCCATTGTTTCATCAGTTCGCAGAATCGACTTGATCCTTGTTTCCGATTTCATTTGGATTGTGCGCCATGGATTGTGTGGGTGTTATTGGTTTCAAATATTCTGCTCAGTTCAATCTTGTTCAATCGACAAAGTACTTGTACAAGTATAGGTGTACATTATATTAAATACATATTTCTGGAGACTAAATCTCTAGTTGGAATATTATTTCACATTTCACAAGTTCAATGATTTTGCCGAGTCCTTGTTCAATCGACAAAGTATACGTGTTCATTCTGCTAAATATATATTTCTGGAGACTCCATTTCTAGTTGGAATATCCTTTCGAAAGTCGGGAACTCATTTACTTAATTTTATTTTATTTCAATTCAATTCGGCCCCATTATTTTCGTTTTTATTCTCTTTTGTATTCGAAATGGAACCAAACTGCAAAATTTATTCTGCTCTTGTTTTAATCTTTTTTTTGGACAAGTAAGTGATACCTTAACTCAACAGTTGACCAAATAATGCAAATGTTTTAACTCTTAAACGGAATCGCATCCTTTTCTCCGCTGCCTAACAAGTTATGAACATGAATATAATTTGTTACCTTAACTACACATTTCTGAATCAAACGGAAGTCCATCATATTGTAGTTGTGGAAACAAAAGTGTGATTCAATGGAACCTTTTGATGCTTCCAACTCAACACAATATCGCACACCTTTCACTTTCAAAGCGATATTACTTGTATTTGAAGCCCATCTCTTTATTTATTTATTTCTTAGTGCTACAAAAAGATGACAGTTGTTTGACTTAAGGGCCTGAATTTGAATTCATTTTTCATTTCATTTAGAAATAAACCATAATATCACGAGTTAAATGATCCTCCAGTACGAGAATGTTTTTCAATTTTCAAATTTAAAACTTAACAAATGGAGTGTCATTTATTAAAGTATGTAGAAATTGTAATACAAATTGGAAACTCATCGAACTGAAAATTTGTTGCATCTGCTTTGTGGGTTTTGCATTCAAAATGATATTCGAACTTTTGTCGGGTGTGAACATGAACCATATTTTAAAATCGACTGCCAGAAACATAAAAGCTTGATCCTGCGAGAGCGGCCAGGCACTGTGATTTTATTCCTGTGCTTTTGTTGCTGTTGTTGCTATTTGCTTTTGCAATGGTGTGTGGCTTCTGCATGTGTGTGTGTGTGTGTGTTTGGGTGTATGTGGGTGTGTCTGTATAGCACTTACCTACGTAACGTATGCGCCTTCCTACAAGTGCAAATCGAGCAGCAATGCCAGTTGTTCTTGTTCTTCTTGCTGATGCTGTTGCTGTTGTTGTTGTAGCTGCAAAGGTAGGAGAGCAAAGGAAAATTGTTAACTTAAGTAGGCAGGCTAAATTAAGAGTTGAAATAGTCGCCAACAGCAACAACTTGACAACAACAGAGCCAGTCGGCAGCAGGAAGGAAGAGAAAGAAAAAAATATATAAAACAGTAGCTAGAATCTAAAAATCGGCTTTTGGCTTTTTGGTTTACCTCTAAGCTCATTAATTTTATTTGCCTTCTGCACTACTGCCAGCCAAGCTGGAAACCCCGGTTTGACTGACTGACTGAGTGAATGACTGACTGACTGGCTGGCTGGCTGCCTTTCTTTCTTTCTTCCTTCCTTCCTTCCTGTCCGCTTGTCTCAAGTGTGCCGCATAAAAAATTGAAAATCAACCCAGACACACACACACATACACACACTCACACACACACACACTTACTCACACATGGGTATGCTCGCACTCGTATATGTATATACAAGTAGTATGCACAGATAAATGCGCAAAAAAGCAAAAGCCAGCAGACAAAGCCAAGTGCCAAATGGCAGGCTGTGCAAAGGGGGTGCTGGGTGGGACGGGGATGGGGATGGGGACGGGGTGGGCAGTAAGTGGCCCACAATACCAGAGCACAGTTCCAAAACAGCTCAGACGCAAAAAGCCAAAAGACTACAGCAACAAGAGCAACAACAAAAAATGAATGTGGTTCAAGGTTTTTGGGGTGTGCGCCTTTTGCGCTTTTCTGTGCATTGTATGCATGTGTTTGTGTATGCGTGCGTGTGTGTGTGTGTGTGTGAGCGAGAAAGTGAAAGTGAATTATTAAAAACAATTGCGATTGGCGTTGATAAGTGCAGGCGGGTGAGCTGTGGCGGGGCACATTGGCATTGCCAGCCAACTCAGAGCTCAGAGCTCATAGCTCAGAGTAAGCGAGCCGATGCGGCTTTAGCGATTTTCCTTGTCATCACTCATGTGAGAGTACTGTTATGTCTCTACTCGTATGTATGTGTGCGGCACACACACACACACATTCACACATTAAATGAAAAGCGAAAAAAAAGACAAGCGCGCCTCTACTTTACAAGTAGTTACTTATTCTATTATTATGCTAGAGTGTGTGGCCATAGTTTAAATAACCGATCTACATGAGATCTACATTGGAAGACTTTCCTCACCCGAACATGTTCAATACATCTCCCGAGCTATGGAGACAACAACTCTCTTGATTCCTTTAACAGCTCCTGAGACAGAATTGCAGACAGAAACATTGGAGAACCTTTTATGCCACTATAAGCTCCCCCCCCAACGCACTCTTGACGTTTTACAAACTGATCTCCTATACCCGACAACAACAGGGACCAAGAACCCTAAACGGTATAACCCAACTATAATAAATCTATTCTTATCACAGCCTAATAGTTTGATTAGCTAATTATTTTTGGCAGTTGATCATTCATTGCCGACGGCAGCTTAAAAACACAAAATAGGGGTTTCAAAAAAGTTACATAAGATCCACTTTCTCTGATAATCAGTCTTAGGCAGCGTCAAATATCTTTATAACATTACTGAGCTATTGCTGCTGTTGATGCTCATTGTACAAACGTTCTATGAAGAATTTTGAAAAAACTTAATCCGCCAAAGAGTTTTTCGAACGAGCAACGTGGAGAATCGAAAATAATAATTAGAGTATTATTCAGAAGCTCTATTCCGCAAGGTTCAGGACCGCACCCTTCAGAATAAAGCTAATCACTAATTGCGACTCGTAGGCACAGCGGCGGATCGGGGACAAAATAGATTGGTGGTCAGGTTCTTTACTGAGGACCACCCCATATCCCAACCGAAAAGACATCAAATGTAATTGCTGCTCGTGCCTTGACTGCTCTACTCAGTGCCTCAGTGCCCTACCAAGAGGTCAAAATGCATTCTTGACCTTTCCTCCACATTGTAATCTTTAATAAGTGCGGCCCACAGGTAAATGTGTTAACAAGCCAGGCCGATTCTCAACTTAATAAATAAAATAATGTGAAGATTGTAGCTTTAAGAAAATGCATTAATAATCATCAGAGCAGATGCTTTAAAACAGATATTTGAAATCCGAAGCTGAGTAGCTCTGAAAATCGCGGCATACATTTTTATTGTTTGCAAATCATTATTTTGCCGCTGCTGCTGTGAATGCATTTTATTTTGGCCGGATACGGCTACGAATCTGAGGGGGTGGTCTTAAAGTGTTTGTGCGTGAGATTTAAGCGAAAGATGCCAAATGACAGTCAACAGATGCCAACCAAGCATGTGTATCCGTAGCTTGTGGGTGTGTCTGTCTGTCTGTGTGTGTGTGTGTGTGTGTGTGTGTGTTTGCGAGACGACTTTGCTTTTAGCCCACTTTGATTAATGACTTCGCAGCCACAAATGCAAAGATAGTGCGGCAACAGCCCGCCCGCTTCATCTGATCGCCCACCGATCAGAGCACCCCAAATAAACATCCGAAGGGGAGAAAAATGCACCCACATTGCAGTTGGAGCCCTTAATCTCCATAATGCTGCTGATGCTGGTTCTGGTGCTGTGTCTGTTGCTGCTGGTTTTTCTGCTCATTTGAGTGCTGGTCATGCAAATGTCAGCTCAAGTCTGTCACATGGCTTGTGATGCTTAGCTGAGCTCCCTGCATTGCTCATACGCAATGTGGCCCGGCCGGGCAAATGAAGTTGCCTGTGGTTTGTGTTAGCCACCTCTTTTTTTTTGATTCAATTTCGTCTGGCTGTCTGTCTGTGTGTTGGTTTGTTCGCTGTTGATTTTTTGTTGTTTCTTTTTAATTTGTTGTATTATTATTTGTTAGTCTGTTTGTTTGTTGGTTTGTCTGTTTGTTTGTTTGTTTATTTGTTGGTTGGCTGGTTGGTTGGTTGGTTGTCTGTGTTTGCTTAGTAGCTGGCAGCAACGTTGGTCGGTCGAGCTTTGCATTATAGTATGTCAACCAGGCAACTTGATTTATGTCGTTTTATTTCATTTTAATTGAAAAACTTGCATGCAGACAGAAACCGAGACGGACAGAGCAGCCGAGTGGAGAATTTTCAGGCATTTGCCGGCAAACGCACAAAAGAGCAAATATAATTAAAATGGTATTTAAAATGTTTTGGGTAACGGCAATGGCAATGGCAATGGCTATGACTATGGCAACGGCTACAGAAATGGCAACAGCAGTAGTAACAAAAACAACATTAAAAATATGCATACACTCCATATGTAAGTATGTATGCGTGTGTGTGTGTGTGTGTGTGTTGTTGTGGTGTGTGTGTGTGTGCATGTGTAAGAGCATAAAAAAGTAAATAAATAACAAGACAAAAGCGCAAATGTAAATAAAATGACTTTATTAAAAAGCTCTGCGCCACATTGTGCCTTGACAGCGGGCTCTTTGCCGCCACTTGGCCAACGACAACAAGAATCGCACTGCCAACAACAACAGCAACAACAACAACAACATCAGCAACAACAGCAACAACAAAAAAGGATAGGCGTGTTTATAAACTTTCAGTGTGCAAATAATAATAAAGACATTCGCAAGTGCGCTGGCGAGTAAATCGTGTTGGCACTGCAACAACAGACGCAAGGAGAGACAGTAGGTTGGGCTAACCACCCGACAAACCGACAAACCGACCGACCGACCGACCGACCGACCGACCAACCGTCCGTCCAACCGACCACCCAACAGAGCCAGCGACCGACCAGCAAGCAACCGCGCAACCTTTTTATGACAAATGCAAATGACGCACTTTTGCTGCCTTTGGCTACAAGAGTGGGCGGACTCGGCCAAAAAAAGGGGAAGCGAATTGAATGCAAAATGCTGCACAGTGGAGCAAGTGCAATGCCTAATTATTTAAATTGGCATCAAATATTTATACTTATACTTCATTCATTATTTCCTAGTGCGACATGAAAAATTCTTATAAATTAACAAGCAAAAAAATTCTTTGCTAAAATTTCAGGTGATTTGATTAACCTACTTAAAAAATCTTATAAAATTTACAGCTTAATTGAATGGATTTTGTTGTACTTTGTTTTATATTGTTATTTGAATATTTTTTCAAATCAACTGTAATTTTTCCCCAAATGGCGGCGCACTACTTATTTTCTTTAAGTTTTGTGGTAATTGATTTCACAGGCGAATAGTATAAATAAAAAATTAGTCAAGCTTGTGACGTATATTATATATGTATATATCTTGCTTACATACATTTTTTATCTAAAATTCGTTTGATTTATTGGATCAAAGTAATGCGAAATAGCTCCTAAAAGTGTGCTGCTTTTTGGTTTACTTTACTAATTGCTCTACGAATCTAGCATGCAATTTTTATGCAAGCTCTATTAATTACAAATAATTTCACTTGAATTAAATTATTAGTCGTGCACTAATGCAAATAATTAAGCTAAATTGCTACACTACAAGTATATTGAAAAACGCCATCTGTTTAAGTAATTTAGTCAATGTTAAACATTAATTATCATAGATTTTCGTCTTCAAACCCAACATTTTTGGAATGTACTATAAAGCTGGCAAGGCAAAATCTCTGGAACTTCATTTAGTTTTCAAAGCAAATAAATTTTAGTTTTAATCTTCGCAGTCCCATGTTAAATTAGAAAAAAAAAATGTAATCTTCGTTTTTGTAAAATGCCGCTGATTTAATAATTGTCCTTTGATTACAGATCTTAACTAGAGTAACAATTAAAAAAAAAACATACTCGATGTACATATGTACTTGTAAATTGTTGTTAAAATTCTGTTTTCAAGCCACAGTTTATCGTCGATGTCTTCTATAATGTGCAGTTGTTCTTCTTTGAATTTTCTTTATATTTAAATGCAATTCTGTTCTTATAATACCAAGTCTAAGCAATGTTTATTAGAATTTCGAATATAAATGTTCTCTTATAACGGACTTAAGCTGGCTTTTAGCCAATATGTCCAATTCAAGTTTAAACAATAGTCATCGACCCACTGTGTTGGTGATAATTTGCCTATAAGTTGGCCTAACTGTAACAAAC